TTTTTTTTATATTTTATTTTTATTCGATGGCAAATATTTATAGAACGACAGTTATATCAAAGGGTTGGCTTGTTACGAAACTATCGAATTTCCATCTTCTTTCATGTAACTAAGTAGTTACTTCAGACGATCGAAATTGGATAACAATTCATTTGTTATTGTAAAATTACGAAGTATCACCCTTTTACAAAAAATAAGTGTCGAAGTAGATAATTATTGGAAGATGGAGTTAGAAACTCACTTCCAAATGCTTGCAGGGTTGTGATAGAACAAGCCACATTGAGAAAAAATTGTAATCCCTGCCTTGTAATAATTATATCAAGGCCTATATAAGCCAGTAAGCGAATACATGGAGAAAACTAAAGTTTAACGTCAATTTTTTTCGCCGAGTCGAAAACTAATTTTTTCGCCTTTAACCCTAGATAGCCGAAGGCAGTCATTTTGACCGTTTTTCAATTTCAAGTACAAAAACAATTGTGTATATTATGACCCAGCTTTTTAAAATTTGGTGACTTTTTGTACCACATAGAACTACGTTTATTAATCATAGTAGCTGCTTCCTCCCCTCTTTCATTCCCCGTATTCACATGTGCTATACCTATATAGCCTAAAAGCGGTCATTTTGACTTTTTGTGAAATATTAAATAATTAAACTACTTTTATTATTGTATAAAGTAAATTTCTTATATGATAAGAACACTACAACAACATCGAAAACCGTTTGATACTCTAGAAACACAAACGAACACACAAATCGGGAAAAATAAATTTTATATTTCCAGTCGATTTCACTCTTAGAGTAAAGACTTCCTCTTTTTAAAGATTTTGTCCGCGTTCTTATTTTTCATAATTAAATTTGAATATTCCCAATAAACAAATAATAACAACGTTTTGTATGATTGTAAATAATGTAAAAAATATTATATATATATATAGTTTAAAAAAAATTCTTTACAAAATAAAAATTCTTTCAGAATGAAGTCATTTTGACCGATTTTAGGCAATATAGGTATATACAAAATTCCCGTCTTTCTAGTGTTAAATAAAATACACAATTTAAATTTTTTTTTAGATAAATTTTTAAAGATAATTTATATGGAAATATTTTTTTAAAATCTTGAAATAGTCCAAATGTTCTTCACTAAGACGATATAAATTAAAATTGAACTTAATACTCAGCTGACCTTATATAGACCTTTAATTATATGAATACACCACCTTCGGTTTATTTATCATTTTCCGATTGTAAAATACTTACATTTATTTATTTTTAAAAAAATATTTTCAGATCGCTAGATAACATAACGTCTGCGTTACATTTGTATCCAAAAACAAATAATCTGGCCACACTATTCAACCCCTGTGAATAAAAGAAAAATAGGAAAAAGGCGCAAAATCATGATGAAGATATTAACAAAGAATAAAAGAAAAGTGAATGTCAGCACGACAGAGTCAGTGGCGGCGGCGGACAGTCGTACAAAAGAAGTTGAGGTATTCAAGTCGATATCGGAGGATAACGCTGTTGAAAACAACAAGCCAGCAGTTCTTCAAAGGGACAGTGAAAGTAATAAAGAAGGTAAGCTTCTGAAATAAGTTAATTTGTTAAATTAGTTATGCGATTTATTAATATTGTGTTATTAATAGTGCAAGGTTTCTTTGCATGGCCAAGCAAAAAACTACATTACAAAGCGTTTGTGTGTGCGTGTAGGAGGTTTCCAACTACATAGAATGTATCTACATATTTTATGAAAATATTCTTTCTGTTATACAGACATGATAAAGTTCTTCATACGCGGGTCGCTGCGTATTACAACAACAACACGAGGAATTCTTATTAGATGTGGATAAATGCCAACTTGTTTGAAATGGTCGATAAATTCATTTTAGCGCTGCACGTGGCATTGTCAGATTGTTCTTAGGGAGATGCTAGTAGCAAGAAAAGTAGAATTTAGAGAGAAATTGACATGAATTTGAATACTCTAGATATCTAAGTGGTTGGGGCAAATTTGCCTTTGTATCCAAAACCACAATGATACGCCCCACACAAAAACTGACTAGTGCGGTTGGCTTTGTTGCGTCAGCAATTCTCAAGTAAACTTAATTCATATTAATGGATACAACAACAGCCAACCGTGTTGGAAATAAAAGTAATTAATGGAATTCCATCTCAATGTAGATGGAATTTCTGTATGTGAATAATATTCATATTATTTCAACATAAAGACAGTTTTAGTTTTCCAATTAAGTCAGTCTCACCGCAATTGAATCGTTCTCGGACACTATATCAGGGAAGATTTAGTTTTCTTTTTATTGTATTTTATATTTTCTGTAGTAGGTATGTACGATTTTTAATTCAATTTCTAATTTGTTATGGGCGTAGCCCCATATTTGCTCTGATTTTTGCAAACATACACATACCGAATATAATATTTGAAACTATCAGCAAAAATTAATTTTTCTTGTTAAACGATAGCGTTCTTAATTCATTTATATTGTAACATATAAAATTGTTGAATTGCAATATTTTAGCTTGAAAGTTATCAGTTGAAAGCTACGACAACGTGACACCCTGTACACCAACAACATTGTTCAAAGTTTATATAAAAAAAAAAACTTATAAAATTTCTTTTTTCCGACACCACTAAAGGATCCAACATCGTATTACTACATAATTTGAAAATCCTATTTTTTTTTGCGAAACAGGCTCTCATCGCCAATATTCGATTGATATGTCTACCCTTCACTAGAAATCAAGGACTTAGTGATGAAATTTTACAACCGATGTTATCCTAAATATCGTGTTTCAGTTTCAAAAATCTTAAACAAACTTTATTTAAAACAGACATTTAAATAATCATATTTAAATGAATTAGATGTCATGTGTAATGTTAATTTAAATGTCTTTGGAACGAACGGTACACCTTTTGAAAACAATTTTCACCCATGTATCATGTATTGAGCACTATCATGTTCGGGTAATATCAATATCGAAATTAAAAACATCTCTACATCCCTGCAATTTTTAACCTACTAGCCCAGCGTACTTCCTGCTCTTTCGAAGGTATTGGGGGTACTAATAAAGGAACTACTTTACAATAATCTTTTTAGTAATGAATTTAAAAGGACGTAGTTCTTATTACAATATTGACAGGTGGTGAGGACAAAATCGGGAGATTCGTTGCTGGATAAAGAATAACGGTTTTAATTAGAAAAAATAATTTAAAAAATGAACGATTTTATTGAGGAGCACGAGATATTGCCACAACAACAATATGGTTTTCGTAGACATCTGAACACTTGTCACCCTCTCGTCAAAATCAGAAATCAGGAATTTTAGCAAATCATAGCCTACAGGCATGGTACTATTAGATATCAAAGCTGCGTTTGATAGAGTATGGCATAATGACTTAATATTTAAAATGAAGAAATATGGGTTTCCAATTTCAAATTATCAAAATCGTGCACAGCTACTTAAGTGATAGATCATTCTGTGTACATATCGGAAAATCAAATTCTAGGCGAGTTCAAATACCTAATGGTTGTCCTCAAGGTTCCTGTTTGTCACCAATCTTATACAATATATACACTGCTGACATACCTGTAATAAATGAATGTATTGTGTCTATATTCGCCGACGATACTTCGATAACACTTCAACACAATATCAGGAAATCTGCAACAAGCTCTTTTTAAAATCAATGTTAAAATCAATGATTGCTTGAAAATGGAAAATACTTGTAAAACCGGAAAAAAATTTCACGGAAACGTAAACCATTGGTCTGTTCCAGTACTTTTTTAATAGTAAATCTAGTAAATAATAATTACAAAATAATTTGTAAAGTTCGGGAACAAGCATAAAATCAATGATTACTTTTTCACGGAAACGTAAACCATTGCTCTGTCCCAATAATTTTTTAATGGTAAATTAGTAAAAGGGAAACATTTCAAAATCGCTCTCAGAGTACAAAATGATTTCAAAAATTCAGAAACGCAAATCTAGTAAATATGCCAAAATTAGATGGCAATACTTCAAAATCAAAATAACAGTCAATCAGAAGTAGGCATTCCTGTTTACCAAAGAGAAAGCCAATTTGTTTTGTGCTCTCTTAAATTTTATTCAATGTTTTACCAGTTTTGTTGGTTTAGGAACTGGTTTCGAGTCAAAAGTTCCAAAACTTGTAAAATTAGTAGATTCTTTTAGGTTCTGGAACGGAATTATAGTTTAATCCTTGCTTACGAAGGTTTTAGAAAAATGCCCTTGAACAATTTATTCCTCTTAAAGTCTCTGTTACGATTTTAAAGAAACAATAGGCGCAGTTTAATTTATCTGTCCAATCTTCCGAATATGTGAATTTCTCTTATTGGGATTTTTAATAATGCCCCTGTATCTCGGCGAACTGTTTCATCAAGACTAAGATAAGTTGTCTATGGTATAACAATGTCGGCTCAGCCCGCCGCTTTAAATATTTACAAGACAATTTCATTTTAATGTTTTAGCGGAAAACGTGGTTAAGCTCGTCATACATGTAATTCTTTTTTTAAAGTGAATGCAATATTTAAAATTCAGAATATACGAACGTGTTAAACGTGCTCTAGCACCTATTTACACGCTCCATATAATAGCTTTAGGTCAAAATTACCTCTTACCACAAAATAAACAAATCAATGAAATTGCTTAAATAAAATATTTATACATTCTTTTATTATTGACTGCTCTTTAATAATTCTTTAATAAAAAACAATATTATATAACTTTTTTATGTATGTATATTACATAATACCAATCAATATGTGTGTATCCTTATCTCTCGCAACCACACAGAATTCATTCATAAATTCTTTACTTATTTCTTTTTGTTTCGTTTTTTTGTGGTATTTACAGAAGTCGACGACGACGTTCTGCACACAACATCGACGTCATCATTATCAACCAACACAGCATCAACAGAGAATATTGTTGATAGCAGCAACTGCAGCAAAGGAGAGGGCGGCAACGGTGATTATTCATCAACAGATACCAAAATGGTGCAGGAAGAAATCAATAATGATGGTGCCGACGAGCAAATGTTGGGCGCCGAAGACAACGACAAATTGGCCGAAAAACGTGAAGAAGTTAAATTCATAAAGGGCGGTGATCATCAGAATGGTGATGCCAAAATTGATATTGGTGCTGTTAATGGAAAGGTAAGTCAGTGGGAATGTTTGGAATGGGTTTTGACTATTTAATAATTGGAGATAGGCATTAGATATGGAATTAGATATATATAATATATAGACAAATTGAATTGCAATAAAATGCCGATAATTGTTAAACCTGCGTTCTTTTTTGGGCACAGGATTGTCATTACGAATTACCGAATAATAAGAAAATTAAATTAAGTCGAAATCGCTTATAAACTCGGGCGAAATTGCTTGCTGTAAGAGATATATCGTTATTAAACGATATCCAATAAAGGGCAGGACTTTTTTTGGAACTTTTGGATAAATTATTATAATCGATATGTCGTTATAAATCGTATCGTTATTAACAATTTCGGCTGTGTATTTCTATGCGGATAATTCGTAATAGTTATTAGATATCTTGTCATTATGAATCTCCCTTATTCTTATGCATATTTTGTAGAAGTAATTTTTAATATTTTCTCCTTCTTCTTGTTTATTAAAAATAAATAAACTAATTAATTTAACTTTCATGTAAAAAAGGATAAAGAAGAGGTTGGTAGTTTAGTCATCACATCATAAAATTGTAATATCCTACACCACTATCTGAAAAAATATCATTTTTTAAATGACAATTCTGGTCCATGTTTTGTTGTATCTTTCCTCATTTTATCCTATCACCAGTAAAGTGGATAAGAATTAACTACAAGTTTCCGACAAACCCTTCCTATGATGAGACCTTTTATTTCCAGACTTTTTACCTTTACCCACAGCCTTATGGCTAATAAGGATATTTACCCTTTGATACGTCAAAAATGTACCTCATCAAAATATTGGTTTTATACCTCCGTTTCCGTCAATTTGGAGTCGATTTACAAATTGTCATCCGTCTGTCAGGCTGATGCGCACGATAACTCCCGAAGGGGAGTAAATGATTTCATTCAAAATGTGCAAATCGTAATATTTATTCCAAACTTCGATGATGGAGGATATTGGTCCACTCCTTTTGGTACCTCCCCCACAAAATGTTCAAAATGTTGCTAACAATTAATTTAATAATACCATGCGAATGGACTATCCGATTTGAACCAAACGTTGCACAACCTATTATCATTACCAGACCTAACTAAAGTCCGAAGATTGTCCACTCCCTTTGTGGAAGCATTTTCAATATTTATAAATCCAATATTAGGCCAATGGAATGCAATATTTGATCCAAACTTTCACATTTCCGTCAAACTCTAATTAAGTTCGAAGATGGAGAAAATCGGTCCATTCCTTTTGGTACCCCACAAAGGGGGCCCGCTGTTATTTTCACTTTACTTAAATGATATCAAAAATCGTCGATTGATGGGAAAACTTTTTTATATGCTGACGATATGTGCCTCTTGAATTCATACATACACGAACATGGAATCAAACCGTATGTAGAGATGGATTTAGCATTGATATTATAATATGTTCGTATAAATGAGCTTTGTATTAACACAATTAATAAGTTCTAGACCCAATTTTCGGTTTAATAGCAGTTCCAGTGTTTATGTTGATGGTAAAGAAATTCGAGAAGTCTATGTTTTAAGTATTTAGGTCTCTTTTCGAAAAGTCTAGATTGCTATCCCAGATTACTCGGATTAGCAGCCAACCGGGCCCTTTTACAAATATTAAAACAAATTCAATAGCATAAATTTATTATATTTGGCAATAATTTATAGGTATAACCAAAATATAGCTGTGGTGTAGGATATGACCTGATCGGCACTGCAGATTATAGCTCAGATTTTGTTTCGTTTGCTTCGTATGCATTTGGTCATATTTCATCATCAGAATCTGAGCTCATTACATTTTTATTATATCATGATCTCAATTTTTTAAATTGTTCATTAAAAAAATAGAATTATTGCTCACGCAGAAACGCATTTGAATAAAAGTTTAGTTTTTATCACTACTCCATTCCATCAAATTTGTATTCCCTTAAATAGATTTATAATACTCACATATTATGTTTTATTTTTATTATTTAGGCTTTTACCGGAATGACCAAGGAGGAGCTGATGAAATATGCCAATGATCCATTCTGGATTCGTTTACGTTGGATTTTCTTCATTGCTTTTTGGTTAATATGGTTGGGTATGTTGGTCGGTGCCATTTTGATCATAGTCGAAACACCCAAATGTGCTGCCCCCGAACCTTTACCCTGGTATAAGAGTGGCATTTTGGCTAAATTCTCCAATTTCGAATCGAGCAATGAAAATGTGGAGTTGGTTAAACAAATCAAAGCCAGTGGTGTTATATATGAAATGCCTGCTGAACTTACCTATAATGTACATGATGCTGAGGTCGAAGAAAAGATTCGCAATATTGTCAATCATTACAAGGAGACAGAGGCTCATGTCATTTTCGATATAACACCAAATTATGTACCAAAAACATCACGTCTCGTGAAAGATGCCATGGATGATGAAACTAAACGTTCCGCCTTTGTGTGGATTGAAAAGCCAGAGGTACCCAACAATTGGTTATCGTTGGTAAATGGTTCGGCTTGGGCTGAAGTAATGCCGGGCAATTATGTGTTATCTCAGTTCGGTGATGGTCTATATGATTTGCATATGAATGACACAATTGTCAAGAAGGAATTGAGCCGGGTTTTGGAACATTTGGTCAAATTGGGAGTTCATGGCATCCGTTTGAAGAATACCAAATTCTTTATTTTATGCAAACAAATCAAGGATGAAGTACCAGCTGAAAATCCCAAATATGATTTAACACAATACGGTTTCTGGACCCATACTCAGACCACATTCCAAGAAGGTTTGGGTGATGTGCTATATGAATATTTGACAATTGTTAAGAACACCACTGCTGATGGTTTCCTCTCGGTGGCCGATGATGTTATCCGGCCCGAAGTTTATCGTACCTCATCGGGTGATATGGGTATTGATATACCGTTATATGGTAAATTTGTAAAGACTCTAAGCTCGCCCAAGGATAAGGATTTGCGTGGTGAATTGACAAATGTTATGCGTGAGGCTGGTAACTATACCTGGTTGCAATGGAATGTCGATGATGCTGAGGAAAATTCTGAAGTACCACCAACATCGGTGATATTGTTCTTGTCTCTGTTGCCCGGTACACCTGTGGTGCCTGTGGACAAGGGTTCGTATGGCAGCAGTATAAGTGATGCAATTTCCAAACAAATTGAGACCTCACGTATGTCACCATCCTATATGCATGGTGATTTCAATTTGTTGCCCATTGAACCATTGGTTGGTTATACAAGGTAAGGTTTTTTGCTTTTAATAATTAAATTATTTTAATAGTTTTTTTTTTTGTGTTTGTCTCTTTAAAAACTTTAACAATTGTGACTAACTTTTTTATATAACTTTAACAAATATGTCTCATATATTTCCTAATACTGCTAACAAATACTTTCATCAATGGTTGTGGTTATAATACAATTAATAGACAAAGGTGAGAGGATTTAATATAACACATATGATTCATATAACCCATGCATACATTTAGTTCTGCTTCCTTTTGTATTTAAAATATCGTTTATTCTTTGATTAATTCCAATTTTATTATTCCCTGCACTCCATAGAATAAAGTCTGGTAATCCCGGTTTCTTGGTATTGTTCAATCCCACCGATACCACCCAAGCGGCCAATGTCACCGACAACAGCAATTTGCCCGAAAAAATGACCGTTGTCGCAATTAGTGACAATTACAATGTCACAAATGTTGTGGCCAAGTAAGTTCTACAAAATTCCAAAAAACTTCCCCTAAAAAATCCAATATTAATCTACTTTTTTATTTTAGGAACAAAATTGCCACCGCCGATTTGGAAGTATCACCATACTCTACCATCATTTTAACCTATGTTCCCGTTAAAACGGAATAAATTAGCTAAAGAGCTAATACCAAGTCCCCAATAAAAATAAATGAAAAATATTTAAAATGGGGTATTAAAGAATTCAGCTAAGCCTAAATTGTTTTGAATTGCTGATTTTGCTTTTATTCCTCTCCAAGCTTGTTCAATATTGCATTTTATGAAAATAACCAATTTAAAAAAGAAAAAAAAAACATTATTTATGTTGCAAGCATTTTGAAAAAAAAAAATTACATAATTGATTTTGAAAGCAAAGAAGAAATAAATTTGTATTTTATTTATTTAAAAACTTTTTATAATAGGAGTTGCAATATGCAGTGCATTTGGTTTGATATTTGTGTAATTAAGATCGAAATGCCTTAGGATACACAAAATAGCGATGCCAAATGTTGTGCAAACAAATTCTGCCAGCATTTCATTGTCCATCCCAGAAAGCAAAACCGGACCTTCAGGTCCTCCTTGAAAAGTGTCAAGAAACTCCAACGTGAGACAAATCGTTGCTCCTTCTCAGCATCAGAAGTTCAAGCCATAGTATCTTCTAAAGCCCACGGATCGGATGGAATCTCTATGGTCACGCAATTCGGAGTGCATTGGTTTGGGATTTGTGTTGGCGGGAAAAGAAGGTTACTTCTGGAGCACCATAATTAAACACGAAATGCTTTTAGGATACCCAATATAGCGATGCCAAAAAATGTGCAAACAAATTCTGTCAGCAATTTATTGTCCATCCTAGCCAGCAGAACCGGATCTTCAGGGCCACCTTGACAAGATTCAAGAAACTCCAACGTGAGACAAATCGTTGCTCCCTCTCAGCATCAGAAGTTCAAGCCATAATATTTTCTAAAACCAATTGAGGGCATCTCTATGATCATGCTAATGCATCGCATCTCTATCTGTAAACTCACTGCTGGTCCCAGAGATTTGGAAGATATCCAGAATAGTCCCACTTCCAAAACCTGAAAACTCAGCTCACAATTTCCCTCTTATCACCATTAGCCAAAGTTTTGGAGGCACTATTGTTACCCGCTATCAATATCTTCGTTTAGCTGACAACATGAATTCCACAAAGAACGCAGTACAACAACGGCGATCAATGATATCACTATTTATATTGTAAATGGTCTTAACCAACACTCCTGTGTCTCTATCTGTAAACTAGTAGTCCCAGAGATTTTGTAGATAGCCACAATGATTCCACATTCAAAAGCTAAAGACCCAGATCACCTAGGAGAATCTCCCTCTTATCACCAGTAGCCAACGTTTTGGAGGCACTATTGTTATCGTCCATGTACATCTTCATTTAGCTGACCACTAACATGGATTCCGCAAAACACGTTGTACAAAAACGGCGCTAAACGATATAACTATCTGTATTGCAAATGGTCTTAACCCAAATCGAACGCCAGCGCGGACTGTGGTTTCGCTGTGTTAGACCTTTCGAAAATGTTTGACACAGTAAACCATACTATGAACTGCATATTGCCCAATGCTACCAAGCGCTGGCTTGTTAACTAGCTCCATGGCAGACTCTGATATCTAGATAAAAATGATCATATCCCCGCCTAAATCTACTGCGACGCTATTTAAAGACTGAGCTTGATATTATAGTCGATGATCGAAGAATTCAGACAATCCTTACTTAGTTGACTTGTGACAGAAAATTTGTTCCATAAGACAGCTTAAAAAGGTTTTCCAGGCGCTTTGGTCTTGCGCGCAACTCTTCCAATTTGAAAGAACATGTTTTGAAATGTTCTCTTCTATTTGATTTTTCCCATCTAATTCGTGACCTTCCCCTTCTCTGCGTGAGCCATCGCTTTTATATGCCTTTTGAGCTGGGTCAGCCAACGTAGTCGCTGCAGCTCGATACGTCTGACAAAGCCTATGTCCGAGAATAGATGATACAACACATGGTTCATTCGGCGGTTCTGTTAACATTTACGTCTCGAATTATCTTTTCCAGCAGGTCACACGACAAACTTTCACCTTGTCTGAATCCTCGTTCGGTATTTAAGGGCTCCGATAGGTACTTTCCGATTTTATAGCCGACAAATAGGTGGAATGTGTCGATGTGTTTTCGTGGGGGTATTTTCAGGATTTGGCGCAGAGTGAAATCTGGTCAATGGTGGATCTGTCAGACTGTCGTCTCCTTTTTTGTGAACGGGACACACTCTAGCCAAATTGTACTAAACACTTTGTGCATGTTCCTGACCAGCATCTGACCACCAGTCTTGAATAGTTCGGCTGATTTATTTAATCTTCAGACGATTAATTGCTATTCTGACCTCATCTTGGCTAGGTGCTATACACTCTATACCGTCATCTCTTATTGGGTCTGGGGTATCATCTTCACCGTTTCGTTACCCTTGCCCTAGGAGGTGCCAACAAAGCTTAAAGAACTTTATTGCTAGCTTTAACTTTCTTGTTGACGTAATGAGAGGAGAAATGAAGGAGATTATCGAAAACCGCCCAAGGATTTTCGGATAAGGGATTGTGGTGTTAGCCAGATGGTGGAGATATGAAGAATTTTGTGATGGTATCTAAGTAGTTGGAAATTTTTGCACTTAAGTCGTACACCACTGAAACATCTGATAGAGGAAGGTGGAGTTTTGTAAGATTCATATTGAACAAAATAGAAGATATAGATAGGACACCTCATTGTGGTATTCCCATTTGCAACATGCGATATTTAGATTTTTGCCGACCATTAATGTGTTGACAAGCCAACGATTGATCTCACTCGGAAGGGTGGGATTTAAGATGTCGGATATCAGTTCGGAATAATCGATTGTATCGAACGCCTTGGACAGATCTAAGGCTACCACAATGATCCATTCTGGTGGTCGTCGCGGTTTGACTCCATTCGGATCGTTTGGATTGCTGGCTATGTATAGTCAAAGGCCCATAAAATGCATATTGACATTTATAGTGGCCCTTACCTTATGAAGATTTTATGTACCAACTTATACAGTCCTTTGATCGGAGAAATATAAAAACATATCCAATGTGTACTATATGGAAAATGCCAACTGCTTAATGTATATAGGGATGTCGATGGGCGAGTAGACTCGGGTCATTTCGGATCTGTTGTGTGTGTGTGTTTTTTTAGATCCCTCCAGCTCTACCCACTTTATCGTTAATTTAAGACTCCGGTTTTCGTATGACTCTTAAAATAAAATTTGGAGGAATATTCGACTCCTTACGATATTAATTTATCGTTTTCTAGCAAGATGACCAATGTTAGTTTTTATTAGATATTCGAATTTCCGTAATAGTTCCACCACATACTTACCCATATTTCCAAGAGAAAGAATCAAACAAAATTTGGTTTCATTAATCTAAGGCCTCTTTTATTAAATTCTTCTGCTCATCGATATCATTTTTCAATAGTTTCGATTCGGTTTCAATTTCTAACTTTTGCGATTCCAATTTCAGTTTACATCCCTCCAGTTCACTGTGTACCATTTCCAAGCATTTGAGATCACTCATAAATTGTTCAAATACTTGCCACCATGATTCCAGATTCGTGGCAGGTTCTGTGGTGGCTGATGATGATTTGTGATTAGCATTGTTGTGATTAACTGTTGGCAGATCAATATCGACTTGTATATCGGAGAGTATTTCGTCCAATGTTGGAGGGCTTGGTGGTGTTATGTGTTTATTTTTGGATTTTTTAAACATCTTCGATTGATGTGTTGTTTGACTTCTTTTTGTTAGAAATTTTGTAAATAAATACAAGAATTTTTGGTGGAATGTAAACAGCTGATTTTATTTTGATAACGTCATTGAATTAGGAATTATTTGATGTTGCCAGATGTTCAAAGATGTTGGTATAGTTACAAAAATGTGGCAGTACTAATCAAAAATGTTTAAATAAAGTAAAAATTAAAAAAAAAATATCAAAAAATTTATAGAGCAAGTAAAAAACGTTGGATTTAAATTTTTATACTATCCTACAGTAAGATGTGCATTAAAAATATGTAAAATCGGTCGCGACTCTCATATGTGGGTTATGTCAAAACATGGATCTGCATATTTCCCAATTGTTACAACAACAACCGATTTTTTGAAGTTGAGTAGGCTGAACTTACTCCAGAAGATAGGACATTTCTTTTGCCCCAAGTCCTGTTATTCCCGACGACGTGAACGAAAGCCTGGAGAGGCAGGCAGATTTTCCCATTCTGCTTTAGTCAGGAGAGCATCCCGAATCATTTGGAAAATTAACTTAAGGTCAAAAAATATTTAATACGAAGATATAGAGTAAGGCTTTGTCGAATTATGGCCCCGCATTGAAAATTTACCGTCAATACGTTTTAACTACCAAAATACAGGCCCTTGGAAAATGCACCGAAAACTATAAACATCGAAAATTTTTACGAAAAAGTTGTTCGTCTATCAAGTACCCCGAATTTCAAATCACAGTAATTTCGTCCAGCAAAAACTGGAGGATATACATAAAATGGGACGGAGCATATATAAGAAGCCTATCTGAAAACATTGATCTATATAGAGAGGGACCTGCCCTGTTATATAAGGAGTATATTGAAACGTGAACCGATATACAATTTTCAATACAAACTTCCAAGAAGAATTGGAAATATATGTCCAATATTTCAAAGTTCTATTTTATCCCAATCATGATCCGTATACAGACGGACATTGCTAAATCCACATAGATTTTATTCTGATAATAAACATACCTTACGGGTTACCGGAGGAATATTTCGGCGTGTTCCATTGTCTAATTCCCAACATATTAATTGCGTATGTGTCTGGCATCTCATCTTTAACTCTCTCACGATTGGCAACACTCTCACATTTCCGAATTGCAACTCTGTGCTGTAAACATTTCTTTGCCGCCTTCATGTGTTTTTTTTTTGCAAAAGTAACAAAAAATTGCGCGAGTGAACTTGTTAAAATTAAAAACTAAGAAAAACTGTATCTAAAAAATGACGAATGCCACGACAAATAATGCTGCAAACCAACAACGTAATGTTGAAAATGCTGCAAGATCCAAAAATCCATTGGAATCATTTCCAGATGTCTTCACATATAAATCGCCCAAGGAAGCTGAAGATGGGGCGTCATATAGCCTTTATTGTCGCGCCAAAGGAGACATGGATAGCAAAACGCTGAAATGGGCCTTCAAGCTGGCCGAGAAAAATGTTTCTCCATTTTACAAACAACTTAGCATGGGTTGGCAACCGAAAGTGAAGCAGAATGACCTCATGAAAGGATGGGCCAGATATTTAGTGGCTGTGGATAAGAGTAAAACACCTGTTGCATATGCCATGTTTCGTTTCGATATGGATTATGGTCATCCGGTGTTATATTGGTATGATGGGGATAATTTTATAAAAAACATCATAGTAATATTTTTTTTTAATTATTATTTCAGCTATGAAATGCAAATTGAGCCCTCAGCCCAGCGTCAAGGTTTGGGTAAACATATGATGTTGGCATTGGAACGTTGTGCCAAACATTGGAAAATGGATAAAATAGTCCTCACCGTTTTGAAGAACAACGACAATGCTCGGGCATTCTTTAAAACTATCGGCTATGTTCTGGACGATTCATCGCCAGATATATTGGAAAAAGCTGACTATGAGATTCTTAGTAAACCTGTCAACGATTAAAGCGCCAACATTAGTTTAATTTACTAATTTAATATAAGCCTACAACATAAGTTAACCCAAAATCAACAAACAAAAATTAACCTCAACGCCAACTAATTTAAGCCTAATTTAAATAAGCAAACTTAAACCCCTAATGCTAAGGAAAGGATTAGCAAAAATCCATCCATGAATACATTAAGCAAACCTGTTACACGAAGAAAACTACTTACATACTGAAACAAAAAACCAAGCAAACTTAGCCTAAGTTTCAATTCCTAAATAAAAAATACAAACACACAAATCAATTCAACAATTCAATAAGCTAAACAACATATTTCAATTTATTGCCATCGTCATCATCCACATCCAAAGTGTTTTATACATAACGTTTAAATTCCTCTTCCATATACTTGGCCATACGTATATCCTTGGCACTCAAACCGCCGACATCATGTGTTGACATTGTCACTTGCAATTTATTATAGACATTAAACCATTCCGGATGATGATTCATTTTCTCAGCCAATAGTGCAACACCGGTCATAAATCTAAACGATTGATTGAAATCTTGGAAAATGTATTCACGATAAATAGCATCGCGTCCATTAACCATCGACCAACCAGCATCCAGAAGAGGTTGCAATTGTTCGGCGCGTTCTTGTTCGGTAAGTTTAGCCTTAAAAAAAAAACATTTACAAATATAAATAAAAATGTTTTATTAGAATTTTCTATATTCATCAATTTAACTGATGATTCCTAAGTAACTGAATTTTCTGGTCCTATTATATTTGTATGTAAATTGAAACGTTAAAATGATTTTTTTTTATAGAATGATTTTAATTATTCCCATCCAAAGGAGACAAAATCATTTCAGAAAGCCATTTCACAACACTACGAGCGTGAAATAGAATTTGTTTCGTACCGATAACAGGTTAAAATTTATACCACATATGGAGAATAATTTTTTTTTTTGCAAATTAAGTTTAGAAGATGTCTGCCAACGATGGTGAATATCAAGGCCTTTTACGCATGTAGTATTATGATAATCCTGCCGTCTAAATAAGACGTCACGAATACAGCAATTTGAGTTATTGTTGACTCTCTTATTTTTTAAAAATCCACGTCTATCCACCTCAATTGAAGCCCTTGGAAAAATATTTTTAAAAAATCCACGCTTATCACCCCAATCGTAGCCCTTGGAAAAATATTGTTAAAAAATCCACTCCTATCCACCTCAATTGAAGCCCTTGGAAAAATATTTATAAAAAATCCACTCCTATCCACCCCAATTGAAGCCCTTGGAAAAAATATTTTTAAAAAATCCACGCCTATCCACCCCAATTGTAGCTCTTGGAAAAATATTTTTAAAAAATCCACGCCTATCCACCCCAATTGTAGCTCTTGGAAAAATATTTTTAAAAAATCCATGCCTATCCACCCCAATTGTAGCCCTTGGAAAAAAAAAATTAAAAAATCCACGCCCATGCCCCCCAATTGTAGCCCTTGGAAAAAAATTAAAAAATCCACGCCCATGCCCCCAATTGTAGCCCTTGGAAAATATTTTTAAAAAAACCACGCCTATTCACCCCAATTGAAGCCCTTGAAAAAATATTTTCAAAAACCCACGCCTATCCATCCCAATTGTAGCCCTTGGAAAATATTTTTAAAAAATCCACGCCTATTCACCCCAATTGAAGCCCTTGAAAAAATATTTTCAAAAACCCACGCCTATCCACCCCAAGCGCTTGGTAAAAAATATTTTTAAAAAATCCACGCCTATCCACCCCAATTGAAGCCCTTGGAAAAAATATTATTAAAAAATCCACGTCTATCCACCCCAATTGAAACCCTTGGAAAAAATATTTTTAAAAAATCCACCCCTATCCACCAAATTGAAGCCCTTGGAAAAAATATTTTTAAAAAATCAAACCCAATTGAAGCCCTTGGAAAAAATATTTTTAAAAAATCCACGCCTATCCACCCCAATTGAAGCCCTTGAGAAAAATATTTTTAAAAATCCATCCTGTAGATCACATGGATTTTTTTAAATCCACGCCTATTGAAGACCTTGGACAATTTTTTCTAAATCCGCGTTTTTTGAAGCTTTTAGAAAATGTATTTTTTAAAAAAAATTAACGCCTATTTAAGCCCTTGAAAAATATTTTATTTATTGAAGCCTTTGAAAATATATTCCAAGCCAATATGCCGCTCAAAAAAGTTCTCAAGCTTGTCAATCACTCTTCGAATGACCATGATGAGGTTGTGTTGGGACCCCAACCATAAATTACTCTGGAAAGCATCGCAGTCCATATTAAGGCAATTATTATATGATCGATGAAGTCATCTTATATTCAATGGAAATTGCCAGAAAGCGAAACTCTTGACCGTAATGGACCTGAAAACCTCACCTTAATGTGGACCTGGGCCAACGAAGCATTGCTTTCAAAGCAGAATGGAATGGATAATACTTTCAGAATACAAAGCTATATGTAGTAGATCTATGTTGGTGTAAAATATAAAAATCTGACAAATTTTCCATAGAAAATAGTAACATTAGTTTCCGTCTTTATTACTCCCAACCATGACATTGGTGAAAATACAGATGGGATCTTTTATCCGGGGCTATGAATTGGTAATATGCTGTCAAGAGAAAACACACAGTCAGACACTCAGGACGGTAAATTAGGTTAGGATCTTGATCATTCCGATAATGGCATTCACTTATATTGAAAACAATATGATGTGAATAAATTATTTGCCCATCAAGGCCTCCGCGCCTAGGACAATTAAAATATCTAATGAGGTGCTGGACATTCATATACCAACGGTCTATCATAATGTGTAATTGTAGGTTAGAAGATTTGTCATGAAATGAGAACATGTTTTATATCTTCGAAAATGAGGAGATTCCATAATATTGGTGGGATTATGTCTGATCCTGAACCGATATTGGTTAATTTAACTAAGAAAGATTTGCAACCCAATTATATAAAAAATATGAAAGTTCAGCCAATTTGTTTGAAAAACTGTTGGTAATACTTTAAAGATGGGAGCTACATTTAACATGTGGCTTGATATATATGGTAGGAAAATTTGAGAACCAAAGAGGTATATTTTCAGCCAATTTTGATTAAAAGACGTTTACCAAAAAGTGGTTCGATTTTTGGTAGGCAAATTTGACAACCAATCAGAACCCAAAATATCAAATAGTTAGGTTGAAAAGAGGGATGGATGATACCACCAAATGTCCAACATTAGATGGTCATACACACAAGCCAATTGAGGCATGTTGTACGCTCTAAAATGCGGAGAAAGTTAGAATTAGTTTAAATTTAGATTAAAAATAAATTTTTGATTTGATTCCCCAATGAATCTAGGAATTCCTTTTTTTCTGAGAAATTATTAATGGTATTTATAGATTCCAGTACAGTTTTGGATTTAAGATATTGGGTTTATAGCTTGTTTGCTGTCCGTAATAATATGTATTGTATTTTGTCCTTGGTTTGAACTTAATCAGTTAAGGCACTCTGTTATAACTTTAAGCTTCGCCTGTAAGATCGTGCTGTGATCTGTAAGACGAAGAGAAATTTCGGTACCCGGTTCTTCTATAAAAAGTCCCAGTCTAGTTTTTCCTCCTTGTCGAGAGCCATCTGTGTAGCAACAGTTACCAGGCGGCATCTGAACTAGTGTTCCACTATTCCATTGTTCTCTATCTGGTGTTATAGTTTCGCACCGTGTTACTACACTCGTTTCAAGTATGCGGTCTGATTCAAAGGTGTTGATTGTTGGCTCAGTAGTTGCCTGCAATATATTTTTGTGCGGTATATTGTGTAATATCAAATAACAGCCAATGAAAACGTGCCAAAAGTCTTCAAACTACCAAATATTGGGGCATATCTCGAAACATTGGTCAATATTGAATATTTTGGAGGGAGATTTTCGAATTGATTTTTCGCAATAATAAATTACATTCAATTTTTTCGAAAAACCTGTCCAAGTTCCCTAAAATATCGAGATTTGTGGGTTAAAATTGCATGGGGGCTATCATATAAAGTGGTCCAATATTGATATTTTTTGGATGGAAATAAAAAACATGAATTATAGAGCGAAGTCTAACCTATTTTTGGTTCTGGAATGAATATAAATATTGATGTATGTTTTTATTTTTATAAACAATTAAAATAAGAAGAGCTCGACTCTGAAGTCAAAGCCTAACCCAACAAAAATTATCCCGTTGAACGATTGCCAAGGGACCCTCCAAAGAAGTTCTTAACTGATTATTTGCCGACATCGTTAGAACAACAATGTTATAAGTAATTTGTCTGCCAAACAAATTTTCCCTTATTAACCTTGAAGTTTCAACAAAACTTTTTTTGCTTTATTAACAAGAAGTGCGGCGAAAGTCGTACAGTGACCGCATTAGAATGTAATAATTAAAAAAACTGGTTTTAAACACACAACAAACACTAATTATAAAATAATTCGTTTGTTAATTCCATTCTTATTAATTCAACAATTTCGAATAAACTTTCAAAAATGTCCATTTATTCATTCTTATCAATATAGAAGGAATAATGGATGGCCTTAAGGTCATGTTTTAAATGTGATTGGAAATTTGACAACTTCAACAAATAAGCAAATAAACAAAAGTCCCCTGCACCCCCCAATAGAAACAAATTAGTGATATGTGTATACTGCAAATTAAATGAGTCAACAAGTGTTTCGGTTTTTTGTTTGTAACTTCCAATGACGTTGGAAGTGGTGGCAGACAATTAATCCCTTTCTAATGTACATACATACAACTATTTTTTAATATATTATTACTCTACTCTTTTTTTATGTTTTACAACTTACCATGTTTTTCTTGTTTGTTACGGGAACTGTTGTTGTGCTGTAAAAGTAGTAGCTGCTGTTATATGATGTCGGCAAATTGGTTGTGGCAACAAGTCTTGTTCTCTTCTCCACGGGCTTTGAAGTACTGCGGCTGCTGCTTCGAATCAAAAATCAAAGATTGTTGTTAAGTCCAATTCTTAAGCTTTATGTATTCATTGGGAATTGTGGTATGCATACACACACGCTCTCTCGCACGCTCACACACCATACAAACATACTTACACATTCCTACTATACACAGCCGTTATACATCTCATTTGTGTTTGGATACAGGAGAAGGAGGAATTCGTTAGATTTGAATAACCATTTGGATTTCGAACTAGTTTTTGGAATATTTTTATCATTTTGATAAACGAACCTTTTAATGGTAATTTTTATTTTATGTGTGTGTACAGACAGCTTCCAACAAAAACCGGCTGGTTTTATTGATTTGTTATTGTTTTATGCTGTGGTAACAGCTGTTTTTGTTCTTCAAAGAGATGCCATATCGTTTGCTTAGAATTGGTTTTGATTCCTTAAACTTTTACCGTTACTGGTGTTGGTTTTTTTTTAATTAATTAAAAGAAGTGCGCGTCATTTCACCTAAGCCGAACTTTTCATACACTTTACCATAGGTTGGAATTCTAAATACCTAACACCGTTCGGGAGCTTTATATGGGGGTCATTGTAAGGTTTGAAAATTCAGAAGAACTCGCATAATACGAACATGAGTTGGAACCTTTTTATGGGGGCTTTGTCCAAATATGGACATATATTTTTATACTCTTAAATCCATATAGCTGGAGACCAGAACCATCAAAGTAAGTTTGAGGTTATGCCAAAAAGCATGGACCTGAACTGAAAAATCCTACCAAGTATTAAAAGCAAGTTGGTGGATACTGTCCTACATGAGGTGGTTGGACACATTGACGAGAATATGGGTACTTCCAATTCGATATTGAAGGAGCCTTCAACAATGTGATTGAAAGCAGAATTTTCAGTAAATTTCGTACATTGGAAAGAGTCCCGTGGGTCTTAACATGGAAGGTACCCCCTATTGTGTTGTTGTAGCAGATTGGCTGTTGGTAAAAATTCTTCCTGAAAATATTGACATAAAAGCAGAAAAAAGATAAATTGTGCTACTTCTATCGGCTTCAGCCATAAATCTATGGGCAGTAGACTTGTTGACTTGGACTAACAACCGAATACCTTATTAATGAGAAAGTCGTTACCAAAGTTGCCTCATCTTTGTCCCAGGCTTTTCACCTTCTGGTTCATGTAGTTGGAATGCGAGGCAGGAGAGACACATATTTAGGATTCCGATCTCGATACAAATTTCATATTACTGTCCGAAATAGCAGAAGAATGTTGGAATAGGACTTTGTCCGATGAATTGACGTATTGGATGCCTTTACGATAACACCTGAAATACTGACGAGTGTGTGGCGAAGGTGTATCAGCCATTAATGTGTGATAGTTGGGATCACACGGCAGATATCATGCTAGCAAGGAGCACATGTTGTTTGACTGATAGCATTCCGGTAAAAATCTTAGGTTGTGCAAAATTTGGTTCAAATCGGATAGTCCATTCGCATGATATACTATTAATTTTCAACAAAAATTTGGGGGAGGTACCAGAAGGAGTGCGCCGATATTCCCTATAATCAATATTTCGATAAGGCTTTAGGTATAAAAAAAATTGGCGCATCATTTCGGTCCAGTCATCGTTGTTTCCTTAATTTGACTGAGGTCCTTTGACCTTATTCAGACATAGCCCACAGTTTACTCTTACGGATTCCAGGCGACCCTTAAGCAACGATTCGCGATTAATCCGCTGACTTCTATTGAAAGTTCTCGGACTCTGAGCTTGACTGATTGCAAATGGAATATATTGGTCCACGTTTTGTTGTAGCCCCCATAGAACGGTACCCCTCAATATTTGGTATTTTGGGGGTTTGTATAACACATATCCATACTAAAAAATATTAATATTGAGCCAAGTTTAAGGTTAGCCCCCACATAACGGTAATCTCTAATATTCCGTATAGGATAATGGACAGGGATTTCAAACGAATTGGCTATAATTTGGTATTTTGGGTTCTTATTGTATTGCTCATACCCGTACCAAAAATTATTAATGTGGACCGAAGATTGAAGGTAGACCCCATATAACGGTAGCCCCAGTATTCGGTAATTTGTAGATTTTGAACACATTTTTCAACCGAATTGACTGTAATTTGATATTGGCCGTCAAATCTTACTACCAAAAAATATCATTTCATTATAGTCCCATGGTATACTCTCTGAATTCTGAAAAGTTAGATTTCGATGCGTTTCGGTCTTGTGCGCATCTCATCCAATTTAAAGACCATATTCCGAGATGTTGTCTTCTACTTGATCTTTTTATCGGATTCTTGACCTTCCCCTTTTGCGCGAAATTTAAATGTTTTAGGCCTATTTGCGACCGTTTCATTTGCTTCTTCATTATAAGCCAATCAGAAAATTCCAGAAGTTATCCCATTATATATATATATATATATATATATATAGATATTCATATATATGTTGTATATGTATATATGTAAGTTTATTAGGTATTTAAAAAAAATATTTGATTACAAAAAATATATATATATGAATATTCTCACAATAAGCATTGAAATGTCCATCGTCCCTTAGTTACTTGAATTCTGTGGACGATCATTATCTTCAACTTCATTATTACCATAATAATCATAATCCGGTGAATGGGTAGAAGTTTTCACCGCACCTCCCTGGACTGTAGAAGTTTCCATTAACATTGGCTTAACATTTTCCACGGTTTTTATTGTTCCCACAGATTCTATTTTGGGCGAAGAAGTTGTCGAGTCCCATAGCTTGGGAGGTTCGGTGGTTTTTCGCCAACGTAAACTATAGCGGCTGCGTACAAAGGGTTTAAAGGTTCCAGCATGGCAAGCTATAGAAAAAATAGAAAATAAAATATTAGTTTAAACCAAAAGAATAAAAATTGCAGATTTTCTTACCAACACAGCATGCCACAAGGATAACTATCAGAGGCACAAAGAATTTCATAAATAACATTTTTCAATGAATTTCTGCAAAGAACTGATTGTCGATTTCATCAAACCCAATGCCTTATATACCCCTCATTGATTGGTGATCTTCACTTTACCCCCATAATTGATGTATTGCAGTTTGTTGCCATCTTTATTCCCCAAGGAGACATGTGGAATAAATTGTTGTTGTTGTTATTGTTATTGGTATTCATAAAATGATCTGCCTGCCTTCATGAAAGCGAAAGTGCTATTGTTCTTTTATCATCACTTACATACATGTGTTAGTTAGCTAGCTACATATTGATTGATTACATATTCACATACGTATATTTGCAACTTCCATGTTGTACTTTCCTATGTTTTGGCGGAACAGCACATGCATCCATGATCCCTGGAGGATCAATGATAGGTTCTTTGACATTTACATTGTTGTTGTGTGACGACAATTTTTGAAATGTTGAGGTAATAGAATGATGATTTGTAATTTTCTCCGAGTTCAAATGGGGTTAAAAATCTTCAAAGGAAATATGTTCAGATTTCTTTAGGTAACATACCTTTGGGAAATCCTCTCTGTTTTAAAATACTTTTGAAATTCGTTCATATAGATCCTTAGTTGAAGTTCTATAATTGCCAAAAACTACGTAGTCTGAAAGGTCTTCTTTTCAGTATCTTATTTATATTCAGGTCAGAGTATACATATGTCGTCATATTTATCTATCCATAGCTTTTCTTATAGAAAACACAATAGTGGTACTGATAGATTTCCCGTAAAGTATCGATCGAATTTTTCGAAAATTTTTTTAATTATAAAAAATTTGTATCTACGGAGGATTGTGAAATCGACTTCTAGAGTTTTTTTGCACACAGAAAGCAGGACTTTGATGAGAGAGGCATTATGAAGTAACCTTTAAAATGGCAACAAATCATACAACAAAACGGTGCATATTTGGCCCAAATCGGACATAAAGTTCATATAAAAATAATGGATTTATTTTCCCCAACCTAATAATATAAAGGTTTCACCTCATATTTTTTGAAAATGTGCCTCATCGAAATATTGGTTTTAGACCCTATGTTTCCTTGGACCAAATCCGATTCAGAAAAATTGGAGTCGATTGGAGTCTGTCTGGCTGCTTGGAACGATAACTCTCGAAGGGAATAATCGATTTCATCCAAACTTTGCAGATCTTAATATTTCTTCCAAACATAGTTTAAGTTCGAAGATGGGGAATATCGGTCCATTCCTTCTGGTACCTCCCCCACAAATTGGTCAAAATTGTGCAAAAAATTAATTTTATAATACCATGCGATCGGACTATCCTATGTGAACCAAACTTTGACAACCTATTATCTTAACCAGCCCATATCAAGTAGGAAGATGAGACCCATTGGTCCACGCCTTATACATTTAATTTCAGGTGAACGGTATGTTCGATTTCAACCAAACTTAGCACAACGTATTATCTTTACCAGTCTTAGATCAAGTCCGAAGATGGGATCCATTGGACCACTACTTCTGTAACATCCCCCACAAGGGGTAACAAAATTTTAATATTCGATTTGAACCAGGTTTGAACCAAATATAGTACCATTTAGTAATTTTCATACAAATAACTAAATTTTTCCAAAATTACCTACTTATCCCAACCCTACACTCCGACGATAATGGTAATTTCAAATTTTAGGATTCCAGCTCCAACCGTCCCTCCAAATATAAATTGTACTAAATTTATTACTCTTTGGTACCTTTCGTATACATGATTCGCACTCAAAATTTCTATCCGAAATTGTTCAAATTCAGTATATTATATTTTTGGGATACTTATAGTTCGTCTTCCAAAAAACCGTTTGGTACATCTATCCTACACTCCATCAGTGACCCTCATTTAAGGGTTTTACCTCCACCGGTTCATCAAATACAAATGTTACCTTATGTAGTACTTTTTGTGTGGTTCTAATACG